TCACAGCCTGCCCTTCCAAACCTGGAGCTTGCGCCCTGAAACTTCTCAGCTCCCATTCACTAGGGGGACGGGGGTGCCAATCTTGGGCAGGATGGGAGCAAGTCCAAATACCAAGAGGTTCCTTCTCTAGATCTGTTTCATTGGTACTCTAGGGTGAGATCACAGCATTGCTGCTGAGTGAAGCAGGCAAGTTGCAGTTAACTTGTTTGTGCCTCAACTTCTCAGTCTATAAAATGGGGGTGCCTGCCCAGCAGGGCAGTTGATCTTACTGTTATTATATTCTACACTATCAGAGATTCTAATTCAAGTCCTTTGCTATCCTCACCGGATTTTCTTTTCTTTCTTTTTTTCCCTTAAGATTTTATTTATGGGGCGCCTGGGTGGCTCACTCGGTTAAGCATCTGCCTTTGGCTCAGGTCATGATCCCAGGGTCTTGCAATCAAGCCCCACCTCGGGCTCCCTGCTCAGCAGTGAGTCTGTTTCTCCCTCTCCCTCTGCCACTCCCCCTGCTTATGCACGCTCTCTCTCTCTCTCAAATAAAATATTTTTTAAAAAAAGATTTTATTTATTTATTTACTAATATGTGTGTGTGTGCACGGCGGGGGGGGGGGGGAGGGGGAGGAGCAGAGGGGGAGAGAGGGTGGGAGGGGAAAGAATGTTAAGGAAGCTCCACACTGAGCATAGAGTCTGCGGTGGGGCTCAATCTCACAACCCTGAGAGCATGACCTGGGCCAAAATCACGAGTTGGAGGCCCAAACAACTGAGCCACCCAGGTGCCCCGGATCTTCTGACCTGAGTCCTGGGAAACAGACACATTCAAATCTCCAGCCCAGAGTGAATGAGGAGGAAGGAAGCTTGGCAAGCTTCCCCCCCCCCCCCCCCCCCCCCCGTCAAGATGAAGACTGCCCCTGCTGCTGCAGGGAGCTAGCCTGAGGGTACCCATAGGGGTATGGCTAACACTTGCTATACTCTACAGTCTAGGGTACAGAGGGCTGGGGGCAGGGGCAGGCTGGGGCCAGGGCCTGAAGCCAGAGGAGGGAGGACAGAGAGAGGTCTGACTGAGTCCCAGGCCTCCCACAATTCTAACATCGCTGGGCCTTTGAACCTGTGGACCCAAATCACACTCCCTCTTTGTGCATGGGGCCGAGCGTGCAGAGCACGGTGGAAACCCCTCCTCAGAGGAATCCAGGAAAGCCTCTCAGGACAGGGTCCAAGGTTCCTACCACCTTAGAGGCCTGCTCAGCCAGGCGTAACACCCACAACAGGTTCTGGGAGGAAGCTCTCACTGCTGCCCCTTGCTGGGTGCTGGGCTCAGGAAAAACAAGCCCTTACCTTCCCTGGATCCCTCAGGGGTTCTGACTCAGGTCCTGAAGAATATGTGACCATGGGGACAGCTGAGCTGCTCTCTGGCCCAGAACTCAGGCAGGACAGCCCCTCTAGGTAGGCACTGAGGGCGCATAAGGGCAGGGAACAGGCCCCACTGCGTTCCCAGTGACTCTTCCCTTGCTCAGGATGTGCCCTCAGCCCCTTAGTTCTGCTACTCAAGGTCCTTCTCAAGGTCTTGGTCTGGGGCAGCCTATGCCGCTGTCCCAGACACAGGGACTTTCCAGGCCTGCAAGGGTCAGACTGTCTCTGGACTCGGGAACAATGGCCAGAGTTGGGGACATGTGCGCTGGACTCCCCTGTCACGTCCTCTTCTGCTGACAAGCCCTTAGATGTCAGTGTTCCCCTAGTTAGTCCTCTGTACCTCCTCCACTCCACCCAGGCCCCCTGATCTTATTCACTCCTGGGTCTCAGGGACCCCACTGCAGACTAGTCCCAAACCCACACCTGCAGGCCGGACTTCTCCCAGGTGAATCCAGCTGTCCCCGGGCACCTCCCCCTGGAAATCACGCATCAAGCATTGAATCCTTGTTCCCTCAAAGCCGGCTCCTCCCCAGGTTGCCCAGCCACCCAACCAGAAACCAGGGCGACTTTGTTGCCTCCTTCCTACTCCCCACACCTGGCAGCAGCAAGCCTGCCAACCCTTCCTTCCCTGCGTCTCTGGCATCTCTTTCTTCCCCGCCATACCTGAGGCAGATCTTGTCACCTCCCTCTGGGTCTCTCCCTTCCAACCCACTGGCACAGCATCCAGAATGACTTTTCTATCATGATTCCATCATTCCTTGGCCAAAAAAGTCCACAGATGAGACTCAGCTGCTCTCATATTGAAATGCAAGCTATCTTGGCACCAAAGCCCTAGATGATCTGGTCCACCCTTCAGCTTCACCTCTGCCTAGGGCACCCCTCGACCCTACACTACATCCCTCCTTGACCTGCCTTTTTCTCAAGCTCCTCCCTATATCAGTCCTGCCCTCACCCTCCTTCTGTGCTGGCTCTTTCCTCAAAGGCTAGCACTGCATCCAGTGGGCATATGCAGGGTGGTCACCTGATTCATGATGACTTCCCCTTGTCTGGGAATGACCTGGAACAAATAGGCAGGCTCCCAAAATCACATTTGCACTACAGGAGCCTGCCACCATTCATAGCTGGTTGGACTATTGGCGGATACTTGACCCAAACTGGGTTGATGACATTCTGTCACCTGAGTACTTGAAACTTGGAATCAAGAACTCGGGGGTCCCAGGCACGGAGTCTCATTAATGCCCACAAGTGACACAAGAGTATGTTCCTGTCCTCAGGCTGCTGGAGCCACCTGCTTCCTGCCCTCCTGAGTCAGCTGTCCCTTTAATTCTCTTCCCATTGCTTTCAAACAAAAGAAGCTGAACTTTCTCCCTTCTTAAAACTGCCTCCCTTGCTTGGATTATTTGGTTTTTTGGTGTTGAGTTGTGTAAGTTCTTTATTCCTTTTGGATACGAACCCTTTATCGGATGTCATTTGCAAATCTCTTCTCCCACTCAGCAGGTTGTCTTTTAGTTTTACAGAAGACACAAACAGACATTTCTCCAAAGAAGACATACAGATGGCCAATAGACACATGAAAAGATGCTCAACATCACCCAATATCAGGAAAATGCAAATCAAAGCCACAATGAGCTATCACCTCACACCTGTCAGAACGGCTAAAATCAACGACACAAGAGGATGTGGTGGATGCGGAGAAAGGGAAACGCTTGTGCCCTGTTGGTGGGAACACAGATTGGTGTAGCCGCTCTGGAAAACAGTACGGAGGTTCCTGAAAAAAATTTAAAAAAGAACTAGCCTACGACCCAGTATTCACACTACTGGGTGTTTATTTACCCAATGAATTCAAAAGGGTACATGCACCCCTATGTTTATTGCAGCATTATTTACAATAGACAAATTATAGAAGCAGCCCGAGTGTCCACCAGTGGATGAATGGATAAAGAAGAAGTGATACACACACACACAATGGAATATTATTCAGCTTATTATTCAGCTCTAAAAAAGAAAGAAATCTTGCCATTTGCAATGACAAGGATAGATCTAGAGAGCATAATGCTAAGCAAAATAAGTCAGTCAGATAAGGACAAATAGCATGGAATTTAAGAAACAAATGAACAAAGGGAGAAAAAAGAGAAACCAAAAAACAACTCTTAACTACAGAGAACAAACTGGTGGTGACCAGCGGGGATGGGGGCAGGGGGACGGGTGAAACAGGTGATGGGGATGAAGAAGACACTTATCATGATGAGCACCAAGTAACGTATGGAATTTTTTTTTAAAGATTTTATTTATTTATTCATGAGAGACCGAGGGGGGGAGAGAGAGAGAGAGAGAGAGAGAGAAGCAGAGGGAGAAGCAGGCTTCCCGCTGAGCAGGGAGCCCGATGCGGGACTCGATCCCAGGACCCTGGGATCATGACCTGAACCGAACGCAGACGCTTAACCATCCGAGCCACCCAGGCGCCCACGTATGGAATTTTTGAATCACACATACACCCCAAAACTGCCTCCCTTGCCCCAATCTCCCCACCAGCAAGGATGAGCCTGCCCTCCACCTCTTCATCAAACTCTTGATAAAGTCTCCCACATTCGACTCACTCCCTCACCTTTCAACTCCTCACTACTCAGCCTGCAGTAATGAAACAAACGTGACAAATATTTATTTAGCATCTGCCATGTGCAAGAATGAGGACACAGAATGAGGCACGGCCCGTGGTTTCAGAGAGTTCTCAGTCTAGCCCTGGGGACAGGCACAGTAAGGGGGCTGTGCAAACTCTAATACAGATTAAAATCCACCGCCATGGCCAGAGAAGGGCAGAGGAACTCACAGGGTGCAGTGAGGGAGGGCTCACGAGAGACGTCCTGGAGGAGGGGATGCGCGAGCCGTGTCTTCCAGCCAGGAATGACAAGGAACTTTTTTTTTTTTTTTTAATTTTATCTATTTATTTGAGAGAGAGAAAGCAAGAGCGATAACAGAGGGAGAAGGAGAAGCAGACTCGCCACTGACTGAGCAGGGAGCCCGATGCGGGCCTCGATCCCAGGACCCTGAGATCATGACCCGAGCCAAAGGCAAACGCTTAACCAACTGAGCTACCCAGGCACCCCGACAAGGAACATTTGAATGCACAAGTCCCAATTCAGGAATATAAAAATCAGTGACTCCTTTTTACTTTCATTTAAAATGAAAATGGATTTATTACCACCTGTGAAAAATGTCATGTAACTATTTAGATTACTCACTTTATTGAAAAAATTTCAATAAGAAACTTGGCACACTGGTTTTCACCAACTAAACGGTTATCATCCTGGCACACCAGAAATGCTGGCAGGTAGGCAGGCCAGAGGGACTCTATTGGCCAGGGATTTTCATCCCTGTCGTAGAGGATTTTTTTTTAAGATTTATGTATTTATTTGAGAGAGAGAGAGAGCGTGAGCAGGGGCAGGGGTAGAGGGAGAAAGAGAAACCTCAGCGGGGAGCCCGATGCAGGGCTCAATCCCAGGACCCTGAGATCATGACCTGAGCAGAAATCAAGAGCCAGCCGCTCAACCAAGTGAGCCCCCTCCCCCTCCCGCCACCGGGTGCCCTCTGTCATAGAGGATTTGAGAGAACAGAAGGGCAGTGTAGGCCGGGTTGAGAGTGTGAGCAAAAAGGGCATGGAGAAACACCATGTGGGAGAAGAGGAATAACAAATAATTCGTTTAGTAGGCAGTGAGGTTGGGAAAGTGAACCAAAAGGCTGAAAGAGGCCTTATTTCCCTAGCCAGGCCCTTGGTAGTTGTCCTGAGAACAGCAGGGAGCCATTGAGGGTTACTGACCAAGAGAGGGTTTGTCACTTTAGTAGCTAGTGTCAGGGGAGGGTTGCTCCACCCCTGGTTAGCCCTGGAGCCCTAGATACCTCTCTCCCTGAGGCTTGTGGCCCCTGTGTAGTATCCACTATCCTTAAGTTGTCAGGTATGGGCGGGGGGTGGAGGGGGTCTAAAGATTGGGGCTCAGAAGGAAAAGTTGTCCCTGCTGCCCTCAGTCCCCAGCCCGCCAGCGCCGGGCTGAATGTAATTGTCCTCGATGAAGCCGTCGTCCTCCTCTTCACCCACGTCCGGGCAGACCCCCTTCCCCGTCCTGGGCAGCGGGCGGTGCTGGTAGCTGGCCCGGTATTTGCGGCAGAGGTGGCATTTGGCAGCAAGAGCAATGAGGAGAGAGAGGACCACAGCCCCCAGCACGACCCCTACCAGCACAGGCCATGCCCGGGCCCCAGTGCCCGGTCCAGGGGACACGGCTGATGACTCTGGGAGCTCTGAGGGCCCCACGGTGGCTGCAGAGGAAGGGACAGAATTATGGATGGGGCCCCAGATGGGTTCCCTGGGGAAACCAAAAGGTGTGGGGACAGGGTCCTTCCCCCAACCCCCCCTCCTTGGCCTCCTTCCCAAACTCACTTTGGTTTGCCCCATTCATGGAGGGGCCTGAAGACGCCGGTGAGCCTGGGCTTCAGCCAGAAGATCTTGAGCTCCACAGAAACCCCCAGATGCCAGGCAGCCCTGGAGGCCAGAGTCCTAGAACATACACACACAAGTGGGTGTCCGGGGAGCACAGGTGCACATTCCCCGGGCAGATGCACGGCCATGTTAGGGCGTTGCACAAACTCTGGACGCTGGACAATTGACCATAACCGGTTGTGCACAAAAGAGAAATGAGCTGTGTACCTGGAAATTGGCTATCTGTAAGGGAACACTGTGGGGTCCGGTTCTGCAAGCCCCTGAAAAAAATGCGGGAACTTACTCAATACTGTGTCTGATTTAGGCACGAGGCAATGGGCTCACAGACCCCTCTAATGTGGGTATCAACATTATCCCCTCTCTGCAGATGAGGACTCTGAGGCCCAGAGGGTGAACTAACTCAGCCGAAGTCCCAGGACTTGAACCCAGGTCTCTGGAACCAGGGCCCAGAGCCCAGTCTGCTACATGGCTTGGTAGGCTGAGGATGGGAAGGGGGGCAGAGGCGGTTCTGGCTCCCAGGGGGTGGACAACAGCAATCTCTCAGAGCGATTCATTAGAACCAAAGTAGAGACCGCATGTGGAGGAGAGTGCCAGTCCCTACCCGGGCAGGGGGCCCCACTCCTCCTCGGTCAGGAGCTCCTGCTACCCCACCTCGACCCTCAGCTCTTCAGACACATCGCTTGTCCATCGACCTCCGTCTGCCCCCAGAGGGAGGCAGCATTCAGGGAGTAGCCAAACGCAGATCACCCGGATCAGGAAATGAGCTGGAGAAGAACCCCCTCGGGCTAGGGAGGAGCAAGAGGAGGAGCACCTGAATTAAGGCACTATGGGGAGGAAGATCATCTAGGCTTGGGAACACCAGGAGGAGAAACGCCTGAGTCAGAGGAATGTCTGCGGGAGCAACACCTGAATCTGAAGAGTATCGAGGGGAAGAGCGCCTAGGTTAGGGAAGTACCTGTCAGAGGGATGGCTAGGACTGGGGATTATCTGCGGGCGGAGCACCTGAATCAGAGGAGTACCTGCGGAGCAGTATCCAGGCTAGGAAAGCCCTTAGGAGAGATGCATCTATCTAGGGGAGTACCTCGCAAACTCTTTAATACTGACATCTTCATGAAACCCTCCCTCCTCTCCTCCAACCTGTCACTAAGCCCCATCAGTTCTTCCTGGAACTAAATATCTCTGCAATGGCTCTGCCCCTCCCCCGCACCCCACTGGCCACTGCCCCAGCCAAGCCACCTTCATCTTATTCCTCGACTCCTACATGATCTCCTAATCCGTCTTTCCCCACCTCCAGTCCATTCCCCAGAGTGATGGGCCTAAAGCCCAAATCTGACCCCATTACTCCTAAAAATTCTTCCAGAGCTCCCCAGGCCCTCAGGGCTGCACGGAGATTCCTCAGCATGTTCTTCCAGTCCCCACAGCCCAGCACATGGGCCTCGGGCCAAACTAGGCCTCCTGTCCACAGTCCCTCCCCCGTGCCACACACACACACACACACACACACACACACACACACACCTCCCCCAGCTCACCTTCCCTCTTGTTCCCCAGCCACCCCTTCCTCAGGATTTCGAGTTCCCTATCCCTCCAGGTGAAATCACACCATATCTGCCTGTGAGGTTGTCCCAGGACCCCCTTGGAGGACCCCTTCCCTGGCCTACACAGTCAACTATCCAGCAGAAGTGGCCAATTACTAGATGGGCAGCTGCCTGGGGCCAATGCCTGGGCTCGTTAATGTGTGCCCTGGTGCTGGCAGAGAGCTTGATGCTCCGGGCGGGTAAGAGAGGAGGATGGGGGAGCCGGAGAGTGAAGGGGGGGGCATCAGAAAGGAGAGCTCAATCACTCATTCACTCACTGGGTGCCTACTCCGGGCCCCAATAGGCACTGGATCCTCAGAAAATCAGATTTTAATTGGAAATGAATTGTATTCAAACTGATGTCTCTAAGGTTTTACTCCTACTCCTTTCCTGCCTGCCCTTTCCCTGTGAATTCTTCTCAAGGACACACACCCCCCACACGCTGTCACCCTACCCCCACAGGTCACATCTCTTCCACCGACAAACACACACCCTCTGATCTCACAGACATACGCACCCCACCCTGAGTTGGGGCTCCTTTTAAAGCTCCCAGGAGCTTAAGGATCTGTGGGATCCCCCTCCCAGGCCCCCCAATGTCTTCCCCTCTGCTCCCCACCTGCAGGAACTGTGCACAGTCCAAGGAGGAAGCTTCTGGCTGGGGCGGGCAGAACCTGGACAGGTGGGTGGGCCGGCGCTGCCGCTTGACTCACCTGGGGACGCCGCAGGCAGGCGGGGCCTGATCCGCAGGTGAGGGCGGAGGGCCGGGCAAGCAGGCAACGCCTCCAGTCAGGAGGACTAAGTACACTTCTTGCCTAGGTTTCGCGGTGAACCTTCTGGCGCAGGCCCCACCCCCACCCCAGAGCCGCGTGGGAAGTCGGGCGGGCTTGCGGCTGGGATCCAGAGAGGGGTCCCGGAAGCCCTAGAAGGGGCAGGCGGACATCTCAGCAGGCAACTGCTCTGGCTAAGGGCCCTGATAAGCTAGTGAATTTCCCATGACAGGGACAAAGTCCAGAGTTGAAGCGGCAGTTTTGCAGGCCCTGGAAGGCAGTGGGCCGGAACTGGAGGGGAGGAAGAGAGAGTTCTTCCCGGGCAAAGCCGCAGGGACCAAGGACACTCAAAATTGCCTGCAAAAATGTTTGTGAGCCCTCGCTGGGGGGGGGGGGGGAGATGTGGAGGTCAATGGGGAGTGTATCTGTGCCCTTGGGGGTTTATTGTAGGCTTCTAGCCTTCATCTGGATCTCAAGGATCCTGGTAGCCCACAGAGCTAAGCTCTGAACCTTTCCCTATTGCCTTACTCCTCTTCCCCAGGCCTAGTGCCTCCTTGCTCTTTAAGCCCCAGCTCAGGAGTCACCTTCCAAGAGCATTTGGTCCTCCCGGACTAGCCCCGCCTTCCCCCTGCAAGCTCCACCTTCTAGCCCAGAACACCCTCCGAGCTGACCTCCCGCCTTCCCGCTGGAGTTTTACAGTGGGGCCAGGTTCTGACAGCAAGCCCCTGACACAGGGCAGGTTCTCAGTAAATATTGAAAGGAGGAAGTGTTATGAACTAAGCCATACACGCACAAGAATTCACAGGGAGCCGCAGGGTACAGCCTGAGCAAGGGCTGCCCCCAGGGCTTGTCAGTGCGGGCCCCGGTAGAACCTGCAAGACCTTGACTATCTTAGCATGGAGTTGAACTCCTACTGCCAATGGCCCCTTCCGAACTCCCCTGCCTTGCCCGTCACCTACCCCGCACACTGCGCCAGCCACATCAAACAGTTCTCTATTCCTAGGACCCAGCATGCTCGCCCCTCCTAGGCTCTGCATGTGCCCTTCCTGGGACCCCAACCCTTCCCTCCAGCCCCGTCCCCCACCTGTCCATCTCCCACCCGGCTGATCATTCCTCCCAGGCCAATTCATCACTCAGGCCCCAACTCCAGTGCCTCTTTACCTAGACCAGCCCTCCCTGACATGCCCTTGTCTGGGTCCCTCCTCCCCTCCTCTGTGCCCCGAAGACCCTGGCCCTTCTCCCAGCTAGCCCTGACCGCACAGTATTGTGATTTTCTCTTCATTTGGCACAGTCCCCTATGAGCCAGTAAACTCTGGGGCAAGGGTCTGTGTCTGTCTTGTTCCTCTCCATATCCCCAATATCTAAAATGTCAGTAATAAATGCTCCTGAAATAAATGAATGAGAGGAAAGTGAATAGTATCCCAGATGGGGCAGTGAGGAACCAAGGAAGGTTTGGGGTCTTGCTTTGATTTTGAATCAAGGACATGATCATAGGATTCAAAAGCTATTCATTGAACACCTAACAGTTCCAGGAGCTGTGCTGATTCTTTTTTTAATTGAGGTATTCATATAACATAACCTGATTCACGCAATTCACCATTTTAGCCATTTTCAGGGCACAGTTCAGGGGCATTTAGTACATTCGGAACATTGTGCAAACATCCCTCTATCTAGTCTAAAACACTAGCATCACACTGCCTGGGTACCCCAACCCGTTAAGTAGTCACTCCCCGGTTCCTCCCTCCTCCAGCCCCCAGCGACCACTAATCTGCTTTCTGTTTCTGTGGATTTCCTATTCTGGGTATTTCATACAAACCTAATCATATTTGTGCTATATTTTTAATGAACGATTTCATTTAAACCTCATAACTATATTATGAAATACATGTTAATTATCCCTTTAACAGATGATGAAAATAAGGCCCTGAGAAGGTAATGTGCAGGAAGTTCCATAGAAGAAAACAAGTAAAGGTCTGCACATCCATCAGTCATTTATTCAATGAATACTTATTGAACACCCATCACAGAGCCACTACCAGCCCATACAACACGCATTGCAAAACAGCAGAAGGCAACCTGCTGGATGCCCCCAGTGCATAGAGAGCAGAGAACAGGCTGTATGTCAGCACCTGCCCCTCAGCCAGAAGCTCTGATGCAGTGAACAACCCTTACAACCTTCCATGGCAGCCCTGGCAACCATGTGGTAAGCTCAGTGCTAGCTAGCACTGGGGACAGAGTTCCCCCGACCATACAGCTTTCGTTCTGGTTGGGAAGGCAGACAACGCACAAGTAAAGAAATTAATAAGATTAGTTCAGATAATGAGTGCTATGAAAAGTAAAGTAGCTTCATGTGACAGGGAGTTGTGGAGGTGGCTGCTACTCTACATCAGATAGTCAAAAAAAGAGGGGACTCACGGACGAGGGAATATTTGAGCTGAGATCTGACTAAGGGTAGGATAGCAATCATGCCAATATCTGGGGGAAGAGCATTCCAGAAAGAGGGAACAACAAGAACACAGACCAAGGGATGAGAGCACTCTGGCTCATCCAAGCAACAGAAAAGAGGCCAGCTGGAGGGAGACAAGTCAGTGGGGAGGGGTGGGAGGGGCTGTGGGAGGGGCCTGTGGGACCAGCTCCCGTGGGGCCCTATCCTTCCCTCCCTCGTGAGAGGGGCTGGCCTTCTTTCACTCTGTGTGAAGGGTGGACTAGAGGAGGCCAGGGCTGAAGCAGGGAGACCATTTGGGAGGCTGTTGCTATCATCCACAAGAGAGGGAATGTGGCATCCATCAGTCAGGTGGAAATGAGAAGAAGTGCTCAGACTCTAGACATATTCTGAAGGTAAAGCCAACATGATTTTCTGACTGGATGTGAGGTTTGAGAAAACAAAAAAAGGAACCAAGAATCCCTCCAGAGTTTTGAGCGAGCAACTAGTAGGATGGAGTCGTCATTTACTGAAATGAGAAGACTCTGAAAGGGGCAGATTTGGGAGGGCAGTCGGACCCCAGTTGTGGACATGTTAGTTGTGAGATGCCTGTGGGGCATCCAGGTAGCATCCTAAGTACGCAGTACCATAAACTAGCCTGAATGCAGCAGGAAGGGAAGAGCTAGACATCTAAGTTTGAGAACCAGTAAAATGTGGATGATTTTTAAAGCCAATCATCTAGATGAGATGCCACAAAGGAAATGTAGAAAGAGAAGAGGGCCGAGCCTTGGAGCTTGCCAGAAGCAGAGGTTGGGGAGGGGAGGAGAAGCAGAGGAAAGGAGGCCAGGACTAGCCAGCGTGGTAGGAGGCAGACACACCAGAGAGTTGTTTGGGAGGCCAGGGAAGCAAGCGTTTGAAGGGCGAGGGCTTGGTTAGCTATGGCAGATGCCGATGGTAGGTCAGCTAAGCTACGGACTGAAAATTGACTTTGAAATCGGCCATGTGGAGGTCCCTGGCAGCCTTGACAAGAGCAGTTTCACGTGTGGTGGGGATAAATGCCTGACGGGGCATGGTGTGCGATGTATGAGCGATGCCCGAGCATGGGAACAGAGGCAGTGAAGGCAACTCCATCAAGAAATTTTGTTGTAAAAGGAAGAGAGAAGCAGGGCAGACTTTGGAGAAAGGTGTAGGATCCAGGGAGGATTTTTTTTTAAGGCTAGGAACTTTTAGACCATCTGTGTCTGCTGATAGAAATAATCCAGGAGAGAGAGAAATTGATGACACAGAGAGAAGAGACAATGGGAGTGTGAGTCCTTAAGGCATCAAGGGGCATGGGGTCAAGTGCACAGGCGGAGGGTTGGCATTGGACAGGAGCAGGGAGACTCCCTCTGACGAAAGTGGAGTATACAGGTGAAATGATGGGAGCCTTAGGGAGTTTTCTTCTGGTGGCTTCTGTTTTTCCAGAGAAACAGGAAGCAATGGCATCAGCTCATGGTGAAGAGTGGGGGAGGGGGGTGTTGGTATGGGGATTCTAGAAGATGTGAATTCTTCATCCTGGGGTTTGGGAGAGAGAATGGTCTGGCCAGGTTTGGGGATTTGCCTGGCAAATCGAATAAAACCAGAGAGGGGCAAGGGAGCTGAGCTGTGGGCAAGGGAATGTTTGCCACGCTGACCCATGCATTCTGGGTGGGGTAAAGAGGACGTCAGGACCAGGTGCAGGAGGTGTGAGGGGCCCGAAAAAGTGGCAGGATGGATGGATTTTCGGAGCCATTGCTGGTTGTGCCAGAGAGAGTAGGTTGGAAAAATAAGAGGTGGTCAGCAGATGGTGGCATATGGAAATGGAGGTTACCCAGGGGATGCAGTTCTTGATACAGACATGCCCTATGAGATGAACCATGGGGTGGTGCTGAGACGGGGGTCTACAGACCGATGATGGTCTTACTATGCCCTGAAGCGTGTTAACTCCACCTGCTAATCAGAGGACTAAAGAAAACATGCTAATAGCTCTATTAGTAAATGGAAGAGACAGGATTCAAACCCAGGTCTTCTGACTATAAGTCAAGCACCTTTCCAGTTATATCCCAACTATATCCCTCTTCTGTGAGTAAAACTTACCATCAAGGGGTTCGGTTTCTCACAATCATTTGCAGTGACAGACAGTAGTCACTTCAAAGATTTGATTATATCTCCCAAAGGAAATGGAGGGAGCTGCTAATAGAAGAACAGGGAGTGGATGCTGAGCAAGCAAAGAACAAGGTGTCCTGGACACCTGGGTGGCTCAGTCGGTTAAATGTCTGCCTTCAGCTCGGGTCATGATCCCAGGGTCCTGGGATCGAGTCCCACATCGGGCTCCCTGCTCAGCAAGGAGTCTGCTTCTCCCTCTCCCTCTGCCTGCCGCTCCCCCTACTTGTGCTCTCTCTCTGACAAATAAATAAATAAAATCTTAAAAAAAAAAAAAAAGAACAAGGTGTCCTGCTCCCCACCTTGC